GTTCAGATTTTTATCTTAATAGGTAATGAGGAGCTATGAAAGAATTTTCAGCAGGGAGTGACCTGTGCAATTTGCCCTTTAGAGAGATGTCTCTGGCAGAACGTGGAGGGTAGAATGAGAGGGCAAGGATGAGGTGGGGGAGATGTCTCCTGAGGTTAGTGCAATCCTCCAGGCGAGCCAGGGTGAATGGATGACCAGAGGCAAAGAGAGCAGAGATGGCGATACGGGATTCAACCCCAGGCAGGAAATGGGTCAGTGCTCCTACATGGGGACCGTGCACAAAACCCCGCTCTTGGTTCTTCCTTTCCTCCCGCCGGCATCCTCTGCACATTCAGGGCCCCAGACACTCCCGGCAGCTGGCAGGATGGGTCTGGAGGGGCTCTTCCCCGTCTGCCTGCCTGCCTCCTTGCCCCAGGCTCCCGCTTCTTGGCAAAGTGGGGCAGGGAAAACCGAACAGAGAAGCCTCTCCCTTGCCATTCAACTCCTAGGTCTCCCTTATTTATTCCACACTCTCTCCATTCGGGTCCTCTCATTATTTCTGAGCTGTACAGCTTGCTGCTTTCCTGGCTCGGGTTCTCCCACCCCTGTCTGCAAAGTGTCAATCAAGCCATCGGATGAGCAGCTCAGCTTCACATCCTCAGCGTCTCTGCCCCAGGACACGAGCGGCAATTGCTGACACACACAAGCAGCAAGGTGTAGGGCTGCTGGCTCTCCCTTTAATAGTCTTCCCATCCAGAATGGGTGTTAAAATGAAATTTGAGGGGATCGCTTCTCTCTGCCTGCTCCTGTCAGGACATCCACAAGGACGGGCAACCCTGAGAGAAGGGGAAGCCTTCAGAAGTCGATTTGCTTTTCATTTCAAGGTTGGGCCGTGGCCAGTGTCTGCTTTCGGAGGAGCTGTTTGAAATTCTTAACAAGAAGCAGAATGCTTGAGTCCAGGAATCCAGGGCAGGCTTGTGAAGTAGGGATGGGAAATGGAATTGTCATTTTATCTCTGAAGGGATATTATATTAAACAGGGGCGGGGGGGAGAAACAGAGTGCTTTGCAGCTTCCCTGGAGGACCTAGGAATGAACAATAAGAAGCGTCAGGGGCAGCAGGAAGAACTGAGATCGGAACAAAGAAAGAACTTCCCCAGGCTCTGGAAGCTGGTGACCAGGGAGGTTTGAAGCATGTGCTTCCCAGGGGAATTTCTCCTTTTACAAATGGTGAATGAAAGCACCGTTTTTATAGAATAGGGAACTAATGAGCATTAGCTCAATGACCTCGACAGATTCTATTTAGATCTTTGATAACACACACCGCACACATGGTTGCAATCAGTGTGTGTCTATTTGTGTGCCGTGTCTCTCTCTGTCTCTTTTTTGGAGGGGTGGGTGGGTACTGGGGATTGAACTCAGGGGCACTTGACCACTAAGCCACATCCCCAGCCCTATTTTGTCTTTTATTTAGAGACAGGGTCTCACTGAATTGCTTAGTGCCTCACTGTTGCTAAGGCTGGCTTTGAACTTGAAATCCTCCTGCCTTAGCCTTCCAAGTCACTGGGACTACAGGCATGCACCACGGCGCCCGGCTCTCAGTCTCTTCTCATATATGTATTTCCACAAAGCACCAGTCCTCACACTTGTCATTAGGAACAGCTACATAGTATTCCATTGCATCAAAACATGCCAGAGTTTGTTTAGCTTATGCCTATTGTTGGGCTGTTTCCATTTTTTTTTTCTATTATAAAAGCAAAGACATGCATGTCTTCCTACAAATGCCCTTCTCTCCCCTTAGGGGACAGTTCCTCAAGTAGATTTTCTAGGTCAGATGCTCGAACCATTTCACCCTTATTATTGTGCTTTGCCCCAGTTCCTTGTACAAGACCCAGGCAATCTGAGTCCTACTCTATCTCTATCCCCATAGCCGGGACAATGTCAGATTATGACATTTTTATTTATTTAATAGGCACATGATAGTACCTTGAAGTTATTTAATTCCCATTTCTTTCATTGCTTGTGAGACTGGGCACACTTCCATGTAAGAATTTATAGTCTGCTTTTCCTTCTGTGTAAACTGTTCATCTCCTCTGACATCTTATCAAGAGAAATCCGGGGGTTGATCTTATATATTTCTATCAAGACTTTACATACTTACTGTGGTATATTTTTCTTGGTTATATGTGCTATTTTTTACTCTAAGGGAGCAGTCCAATTGTGAGGTAGATGCTATCCTGTCCCATGTGGGGTGAAGGTGGCATGAAGTTGAGATGACCTTTATAGACTTTAGATTGATTTTTTTTATTAGGAAAAAAAGAGAGAAAAGCCAGTCAGATGATATCGCCTTCCTGGGATTTTACTTTCCTACGGAGGGGAGGGCTGGACTGAGAGGACAGCTTGTTGCTAAGGCTACTCTGGGAGATTCTTTTTAGAATGAGAAGTATTGCTGAGGGCCTCAGTGGACCACTGTGCTGAGACTGGTCAGCTCCCTGTAGTCATATGGGCTTCCTGGATGACTATTTCCTCCCACTCACCGTATGGCCATGAGAAAAATGGTAAAAGAGTGAAATCAGAATCATCACTCCAAGCTGTGACTAATCTTTAGTATAGCATAGTGGTTAGAAGAACAAGTTCTGGAGCAGACAGAACTAAAGTCATAGCTCAGTGTCCATGTACACCAGGTGTATGGCTTTGGACAAAATATTACCTAAGCTCCAGTATCTTTGACTATCAAGCGGTGTTTCAGTGATGGCTGTGTAAAAAACCACCCCCAGAACTTAGTGATTGAAAACAACCATCATTTTATTCTACCTCATGATTTTGTGGGTCTGAAATTCCATTGAGGCTCGACTGAGTGCTTCCTCTGCACACATGGCATTGAGAGGGCCACTCGGTGGTATTTAGCTGGTGGCTAGGCTACCTTGGGAAGTCCAAATGGCTTCCCCCTTATGTCTGGCTCTCTATGTAGCCTGGGGCCTCTTTACCTGGTATCTTCCACAGGATGGCTGGACTTCTAACATGGCAGCGCAGAGACAAGAAGAGGAAGCTGCCAGTATCTGAAGGTCTAGGCCACAGTTTGGCTCCCACCATGTTCTATTGACCAAATAGTCACAGGGAATGTGATGGGAGGGGTGAGGAAGAACTTGGGGCCATCTGTAATCTGGGGATAAAGATACTTACTCCTCAGACTCTGAGGATTCAAGGAGATAATGCATTCAGAGGCAGATTTTCCATGAAGTAAAGGAACCTTCAACCAGAGGGTTCCTTGATTGAATGGTCTTTTCCAAGTCCTGACACCTAATTTTGTATTCATAATTTTTCTTTTTCTTTTTCTTTCCTTCCTCTTTCCCTTTCTCTCTCTTTCTTTTTTTACCTGGGTATTGAGCCTGGGAACTTGAACATGCTAATCACATGCTCTATCACTGAGTCACACCCCCAAGTCCCTTTTTTACTTTTTCTTTAAGAGATCCTGTCACTATAGAAGAGATTTCTCCAAAGAAGGGTCTGAGGAGTTTCCAGAGTAAAGGGGAAGGGATCTTGACTCAAGACCAATGGGGTTCTTGGAAAATGTGAAGGAAAAGAATTTCAGCATGGGTCAGTCAAAGGCAGAGACAGAGGTTTATTTAGGGAGAATGGGGGCAATCCCAAGAGAGAGACATGCCTTTAGGGTTAAGCAAGGAAATGTATTCAAAGGAGAATTTGAAGTCCAGTGTGGTGGCACACCTGTAATCTCAGTAGCTCATGAGGCTGAGGCAGGAGGATTGCATGTTCCAATGCAGCCTGAGGAATTTAGCAAGACCATCTCTAAATTTAAAAAAAAAAAAAATTAAAAAGGGTTAAGTGTTTAAAATCAATCCCTCCTACCAAAATTTAAAAAAATAAAAAAAGGAGAATGTGGGCCACCTACAGAGGGAGAGACAATAACCCATTAGCCCAGGGTGTTAATATTTATAGAGGACCTGTGCTGGGGGCTGGACTAGGGGTGGAGCCAGGTGGAGTTACAATTTCACGCCAATTTTCCCTGCGAGTGGGCATTTTCCTTATGTTACAAGGGCATGGGTCAAGGGCACAATTGTTCCAGGGTGCTTTATGAATTTCAGTGGTTCATGGATGTTTCCTGAATTTCAATGACTTATGGGCATTTCCTTTGAGACTCAGTATCTTTCCATTTATTCCCAAATTCCTATTTCAGAATTCCAAATTGTGTAAGAATCAGGACCAATAAATCCTGGCTCTGTCCTGATGCCTGTGACAGTACTTTCTTAGCACGCTGCCTGGCACAGGGGACTCTCCATACAGACCCCCTCTATGTGCTAGGCCAGTGACTGGTTCCCTTTCTGTGCCTGAGAAGAGGGCTCCTCCTCTCACTCTGTCCTTTCCACTTGTTCAGGATCATTTATTCTCCTTTTTTTCAACATGAAACTAAAACATGCTGAGAATAATTTCATAATCACAAAGCTGCCCTCCCAATTGGCCCCTGCTTCTACCCCCTGACCTCACCACCTATCAGGGAGGTGGGCCTTACCCTGGGCATCCTGCCAAGTTCTTAGCTGGCCCTGCAGAATTTCTAAAGGAAATCAGGCCGAGGAGAGGAAAGCCAGCAGGGGGAGGCAGCATTCCCGGTGCCCAGCTTGGTCTAGGAGGCATTGAAATTCCAGGGCCGAAGTCCTGAGACAAAGATCATAATGAGACAGGAAGGTGGCATAGGAAGGAGCCCATTTGCATGACAATAATTGAGCCAAGAATAGAAAGCTAGAGGGATGCAAGGGTGAGGCTGGCAGCTGAGCTGGGCTAAACCTCACAAATCAGACCATCCAGCTCTGCTCTGCCAGGGGGGCGGAGGCTAAGCCCTGTGCCAGGCTTTGGGGGAGGGAGGAGGAAGGAGCCGGACACAGCCCCAGGGGATTGTGGGAACACTGGCCAAGCTGGACTTTGCCTTCCTGCTCTCCCTGCAGCCTGGTGCTGCCTTTGTTTGCCTTCTCCTTCGTGGGCTCTGTGGCCGGAGGGCTAAGTGGGCATCATGGGTACTCAGAAAGTTCTCTGGGATGCCATTGTGATCGGGGCAGGCATCCAGGGCTGCTTCACTGCGTACCACCTGGCCAAACACGGGAAAAGAGTCCTCCTGCTGGAGCAGGTACTGTGTCTGCCCTTCGGACCTTAAGGACTGTGTCTCTCTCCTCTCCTAGGGAGGGTTTCCCAGAGCTAAGAGGTTATGAGTGAGGCCAAAGGACCCCAAATGTCACAAATTCTAGGCAGTCTGTAGTTGAGATGCTAATATTGTGTTTCATAACGATTCAAAGTTCCACTTTCCCTCAACCCCTGCAGGCCTTCCAGGTACATTTCTTCATTTTACTGTCTCTTGGTTCCTACCCACGACTGAGAAGTATCCCAGGCTGTGTTCTTTTTATTCTTGTTCCCAGTCTTTTGTGCCCAAATGGTTGATCCAGCCCAGAAAAATAATCAGTTCTGCTCTGGGTAAACTTAAGTAAAGATAATTTTGCCTAGGGGCAAGGGTTGATGTTTTAGTCAAAGAGGTAGGATTGTTTCCTGAATTTTATCAACTTCTTATCCCCAAACCCAGCAGAAGCTTCTGTCTATTCTGCCTCCTCTGAGTAGTAGTGAGATAGGAATTTGGGGATACAGAGAAAGAAAGATCAACTAAGTCTCAGAAGTGCAGCTCCATGAATCCTTGGAATTCAGGGAATGCCCATGAATCTTTGAAATGCAAAGCAGACAACCTATGAGCCACCCAGCCCCTGCCCTTGGCCCATGCTTGTTAAGAAGTAACATAGTGGGGGCAATGGGCAAGTGATACAAAAATTGGCACGAAGTGGGTGTGGTGGCGCACACCAGGAATCCCAGAGGTTGACGCAGGAGGATTGCAAATTTGAGGTGAGCTTCAGCAATTTAGCAAGACCCTGTCTCAAAATGAAAAATAAAAAGGACTAGGGTTGTAGCTGGGTGGTAGAATGCCCCTGGGTTCTATCCCTAGTACTGCCAAAAGAGAGAGGGAGTGGGGAGGAGGTAAAACTGGCATGAAATTGTGTAACCTCCCTCACTCTACTTCTAGTTTAGCCCCTAGCTACTATTCCTTTATAAATATTAACAGACTAAGAGGTTGCTGACTCTCCCTCTGGAGATGGCCCATATTCTCCCTTGAATGTATGTATATTCCTTGCTTTACCCCAAAAGACCTCTCTCTCTTGAGATGGCCCTGCGTACTCCTTTGAATTTGTATCTGCTTCCTAAATAAATCTGGGTCTCTGACTAGTACATGCTGAAATTCTTCTCCATCATGTATGCCAAGGACCTCACTTGTTCTGAGTGGAGGTCCCCCTTCCTGGGAACTACTCCGGTGACAATAGCAGCCTTCTTGCACAGGGTAAGATGCACAGGAATATGATGCACATCATATTTTTCCTTAAAGGAAAGGTGACCCTATGCAGTGCTGTCCACAGTAACCACTGCATATGTGGGTGGACTCTGTGTGTCTGAAGGGTCCTTGGGAGTGGAGTGCAGGCCCACCATGCGAAAGGCTCTGCCTCACTGGGTTCTCCCTTGCCATTCTGCCTACAGCTCTCCAGGCTGGTTAGGGTGTACTTTTCTTGGTAATGAGCTGAGTAGTTAGAAATCTTCATTTCTCTATCAGTTTGCTCATAGCCCAAGGGATTCCTGGTTCATCCTCTCAGGAAACTCTCATCTTTTGCTAAATCCCAGGATAGTTCTCCTATCCTGAGTGATCTGAAGCCACAGAGAAATAGCATTGTTTCCCTTATCCATAAAATGAGGGGGGCTAGATTAGAATAATCTGGAAGGTTTTTTCTAATTCTGCTTTTCTGTAAGTCCAAGTGGATGAGATTGTAGCAAGACAACTGGAGACCAGCTAAAAAAGGGATTTGTGGAATGTGAATGATGTTTGCAAAAAGAATGATGAGTTTAGTGTTACTGGAGAACTTCTACCTTAATCACCGAGGCAGTAGATTCCCAGCAATTTGGGAGGCTGAGGCAGGAAGAACGTGAGTTCAAAGCCAGCCTCAGCAATTGAGCAAGGCTCTAAGCAACTTAGCGAAACCCTATCTCAAAATAAAACATAAAAAGCGTTTGGGATGTGGCTCAATGATTAACCCCAAGTACTAAAAAAAAAAAAGATGGCTGGGGTTGAGCCTCAGTGGTAGAACGCTTGTCTAGCAGGTGTGAGGCACTGGGTTCAATTCTCAGTACCACATAAAAAAAAAAAAAATAAAGATATTGTGTCCATCTACAACTAAAATTTTTTAAAAAGAGAGAGAGAATTTTATTTATTTATTTTGGTACTGGGGATTGAACCCAGAGGCACTTAACCACTAAGCCACATCCCCAGCTCTTTTTCGTATTTTGTTTAGAGACAGGATCTCACTGAGTTACTTGGGGCCTCACTAAGTTGCTGAGGCTGGCTTTGAACTTGTAATCTTCCTGCCTCAGCCTCCTGAGCCTCTGGATTATAGGTGTGTGCCACTGTGCCCGCCCAGCTGAGAGAGAATTCGAAAAGCTTATATGAAAATATTTGAAGAATAAGTGGCTCTTGTTTGACAGCACAGAATGAGACGGGCCCTAAAGAGGGATGTAGCATCAGAGGAAATGGCTTCCCTTGTCTCCACTTTCAGTTCTTTCTTCCACACTCCCGAGGAAGCTCCCATGGACAGAGTCGCATAATCCGAAAGGCCTATGCTGAAGACTTCTACACTAAGATGATGGATGAGAGCTACCGGATTTGGGCCCAGCTGGAGCAGGAGGCTGGAACCCAGTTGCACAGGTGGGCAGGGGAGGAATTCCTTGAATCAAGGGACCCCATACCAGGAAGTGCTTTTAACCTGTGAAAAGGAAGGGTATGAACATTTGAAATGCAATGGGTGAGATGCAGGTGCCAGTCACCTGGAAGAATTCAGTACTCTGTCGTTATCATCGCACAGGTCCAACTGGCTCCTACCAAATTCTGAGTTCTAGGAATGGGTTAGACCTTGGGTCCAAGGCCAACAGAGCTTGAATTAGGAAAACTGTTGGAGAGACACAGTGGGCAGATACCCAAAGTTGGGCAGGCCTGTCTGGCACCTGCTGGACTTTGTATTTATACTTCTACAAAGTTCTCTTGTAGGGTTGTGGTTTAAGTAGAGGCTGAGGCTGCTTTCTTGATCCTTATTTTATTTTTAAACCAAGGATTAAATCCAGTGGCACTTAAGTACTGAACCACATCCTCAGCCTTTTTTAATATTTTATTTAGAGACAGAATCTTGCTAAGTTGCTTAGGGCCTCACTAAGTTGTTGAGGCTGGCTTTGAACTTGTGATCCTCCTGCCTCAGCCTCCTGAGCCTCTGGGATTAGAGGTGTGCGCCAATGCTACCAATGTTTTATATGCACTGTAGTATCCTAACTTTTTATGCTGGATCCTCAACCTCCCATCAAAACCCTATAAACTTGGGGCTGAGATTGTAGCTCAGAGGTAGAACGCACACCTAGCATGAGTGAGGCACTGGGTTCAATCCCCAGCACCACATAAAAAAATAAAGGTATTGTGTCCATCTAGACCAAAAACAAGCAAGCAAAAAACCCTATAAACTCATTTCATTCTCTCTTAATATCACCTCCCAAATGAACATGGGGTGCTCCTCATGCCAGAATGCTTGCCAGGAGTGGCTTGAAGCTATTATTTCCCTGTTGCTCCTGTGGCTCTCTCTAACCCTTAGGACTCAAGTTCCTTGCTGACCTTCTCAAACAATCCAGGGGGAGAAAGCAGAAAACCTGTGATGCAATGGGAACTTTGACCACCCTTGCCTCCCCTCTGGCCTCCTCTGTGATTCTCAGCTGAACTTCCTTTACATAACCCTGGCTCTACCCCACAGGATGGCAGTTATTTTAATGGCCAGGAACCAAAAGGTTACTGTTCTGTTGCAAAAACACCATTAACTTAAGAGAAGTGAAATCCATTATGCAAATACAGCCAGGGCAGCTAATTAAGGACTTATTCAGAGGCAGCTAATGCACCCAGCACCCAAATAAAGGAGTATGTCTTGCTGAGGGGTGGCCTGGAAATGGGACCCTTCCCTGGCAGTCATCTTTGAATACTGCTGAGTGTCTTGGACTAGGAGAAATGCCCGAGGCCTTGGAGGGTACAGTTCTTCCCAGCGGAGGACCAAGGGATGTCTAGCAAATGTCTGGAGTCTTTTAGAGGGAGACATTTTCGGAGCCTGACAGCTTGAGTCTGACTTTGTGCTCTAGGTCTTACCGGCTATATGATTTTGGAAAAGTTTCTTCACTTCTCTTTTCTCATGGAGCTTTCTGAAGATTAAATGACACTTTTGTGAAGTTTCCTAGCAACTTTCAATAACTGTTGGTTCTTTTTACCTATTCTGGGTCAGCCATATCCAGGGTCCATTGTCCAATAAAGGAAGAAGGATGGGAGGAGTTAAATGCAGTGACAAACACCTGTAATCCCAATCTACTCAGGAGGCTGAGGAGGGATAATTGAAAAATTTGAGGCCAGCCTTGGCAATTTAGGCCCTCTTAAAATAAACACCAAACCAAACAAAAAAAGATACAAGGTCTCAATGGTAGAACACTTGCCTAGTATGCATAAAGCTCTGGGTTCCATTCCAGCACCTGGAAAAACAAAACACAAAGGAGACAAAAGGGAAGACAATCACAGACGCCACAGGAATGACTGCAGAAGAGAGGAAAAAGAGACCCTTGGATAGGAGACTCCCATAATCTCATAATCCTCTTAATTGGCAGGTGAGGGATTTGGAAGGACTTTGGAACCAGTCAGGCCTATTTCTAAATCTCAGCTCTTATGTACTTAGCTGTGTGGTTTGAGAGCAAGTTGTTTAGCCTCTGTGAGACTCAGTTTTCTCACTTGTAAAATGGGGATAAGTTTTCTCACTTGTAAATAAGTAAAATAAGTTTTCTCACTTGTAAAGTGGGGATAATAATATCTATTCTATGGAGCTGTTGTGAGGGTAAGGATGTAATGGGTTTAGAAAAGTACCCAGAAAATCGTCATCATCTTTACCATTTATTAATTTAGAAATTAGGGGCTGTTCACCCCTAATCTGAAAATCCAAAACTCTAAGTGCTCCAAAATCTGAAACTTGATTGGAGCACTAACATGACACTGTAAGTTGAAAATCTGACACCTGATTTTATGTGATTGGTCAGTCAAAACGCAGGAGCACTAAAATTAACTTTAGGTTACGTGCATAAGGTGTATATGAAACATAACTGAATTATGGGTTTGGACTTGGGTCCCATCCCCAAGCCATCTCATTATATGAAAATGGCCCCAAATCCAGAAGAATCTGAAACACATCTGATCCCAAGTATTTTGGACAAGGGAAACTTGCCCTGAATACAAAACTCATTTAATTTCCCCTATTATCTTATAAGAGGGTTACTCCTGAGTAGTCAGGGTCTTTCCCCTTCCCAATGTACTGGGGATTGAACCCAGGGGTTTCATCCCCACCTTGAACTTGTTGATCCTCCTGCCTCTGTTGCAGGTTTTTGTTTATTTATTTGTTTGAGAAAGAGGTCTGCTATGTTGTTCAGACTGTCCTTGACCTTCTGGGCTCAGTGGATCCTCCTGCCTCAGCTTTCTGAGTAGCTGGGACTATAGGTGTCCATTATTGTGCATTAATGTGAATCATATAATTACTATATTCAGTCTAGAACAGGGGTCAGCAAACTTTTTCTATAAAGGCCACTTGGTAAGTATCTTAAGCTTTTCAGGCCATATGGTCTCTGTTGCCACTGTTTAATTCTGTCGTTACAGTGTGAAAGCAATGCAGACAAGATGTAAATAAATCAACCTGGATGTGTTCCAATAAAACTTTATTTCTGGACACTAAAATTTGAATTTCATATAATTTTCTTGTGTCCTAAATGCTATTCTTCTTTAGATTTTTTTTTTTTTTTTTTTGGTCCCGGAAATTGAACTCAGGGGCACTCAACCACTGAGCCACATCCCCAGCCCAATTTTGTATTTTATTTAGAGACAGGGTCTTGCTGTGTTGCTTGGTGTCTTGCCATTGCTGAGTCTGGCTTTGAACTCATGATCCTCCTGTCTCTGCCTCCCTATCTGCTGGGATTACAGGCATGCACCACTGCGCCCAGCTCTTCTTTTGATTTTTTAATAATGGCCCCCAATCCAGAAGATTCTGAAACACTTCTGCTCCCAAGTATTTAAACACTTCTGATCCCAAGAATTATTTAAACCATTTAAAGATATAAAAATCATCTTGGCCAGATGACAATAGACAGAAAGCCAGATTTGATCCTTGGGTTGCAACTTGTTGGTCCCTGATCTAGAAGATACCACAAAATGATTATGTTATTCACTCATTTCCCTGTCTCCAAACCAGTTCATGCCTAAATCATCCCAGGTCAAAAGACTGCTACCGTAATTTTAAAGACATGAAAATATGATAGCCTGTATCTCCCACGCCTTGTGCTGGGGACTGAACTCAGGGGCGCTCTACCATTGAGCTACATACATCCCCAGCCCTTTTTTATTTCTTATTTTGAGACAGGGTCTTGCTAAGTTGCTGAGGCTGGCTTCAACCTTGCAATCCCCCTTGCCTCAGCTTCCCAAGTCGCTGGAATTAGAGGAAGTGGGTCATGGCGCCTGGTTCATAGCCTGTATTAAAAACTATTTTGACACCCCACAGCCCCAATTAAGACAAATGAAGAGTAATGTGAATGTGCTTTAAAAACCTTTAAAGTGCTGTAGCGAGCTAAGTGTTATTATTATTGTTATTATTCTATTAACAAGTTCTTTCTTATGGCTATCCTAATTTACTCAGGCATGCTAAATTTTTTTGGATCTTATCCTCAGTAGAAACAGAGCAGATAGATATTTCCCGTTCTCAGAATGGCATCTGAATAGAGCTGTCTACCTTTGGGATAAATGCCATTCAAATTGCTTTAGCTTTTACTCTTAATTTTGATTTTCTAAGTGATTCATCATCTTTGTGGTTCTTATTTCTCTCTAGATTCTTCTAGAAGAACCGGCACAATATAACTGATAGAAATAAGTGTACTTAATGCCATTTGATGATGATTAAAAAAACCAACATCTTTAGGAATTGGTAGTTAAGGTGGTTGCCCAATTCTTTTTATTCTGTTCTGCTGCTTCCCAGTGACAGCGGCATACTAAACATGGGTGGGCTCCGAATATTTGCATATATTCTGGGAACAGACAATGACACATGTGTCAGATCACAAGGTCTGAATCTTTTGTGATTCGTACAGCCAGGATGCTGATACCAACAGCAAAGCCCAGCTCTGTGGACCATCTCTTTCCTGCCCCTCCTTCTCCCTTTGAGTCCTACTATCCAGCTCCTGACCCGAGCTGCCCCTGCTTCGCTGACAATATCAGACAAGATCACAGCCGTAGGCAGTACAGCTGCTGGCAGAACCTGGTGGCCCCCTCCGCAGCTGCTGCTTCCTGTGTCTGCGAAGTGTCTGGCTTGTCAGCCACATCCCCTCCCTGGAGCAGTCTTTGTTAACCAATTCCACCTCGGCCCACTGAGCGGAAGATGAAACACAGAGAGCGCCTCCAAAACCCAACAAAGACAGCAGCCATTACCAAGTCCCTTCCCCAAGGTGACTCTGAGACCTGGCTTGCCTGGCACTTTTACCAAGCCAGGGGAACGCTGGAGCTTGGGATGGGAGGCGGAAGATGCAGGAAGAATTGTCTTCCCCTACCGGTTCCTCCCAGTACCACCCTGCACCCTGTCCCGCACTAGAAACCTGTGGAAATCCCTGATTTCCAGCTCTGTATGTCACATCATAGGTGTTAGTGAGGCCACCGAAGAGTCAATAAGGCCCTTGGGAGGAATCTTCAATGACCTCTTCCTAGTGCTGGGGCTGGGAGGAAGGTACAGTTCATACCTAATGCTCCCAACACAGCCGCTGGGCATTCTGGGAGGTGGGAGCTACAAAATTTCTAGGGTTCCTTGGCAACCTGGGCTGGTTTCAGACCCTCCTTTCCAGGCCAGCCCTGGCCAATCATTTCCTGGTCATTTTTTCTCCCCGAAGATGCCTTTGTCCCTACTCACCCTTTCCTTCCCAAACTTTGTAACCTGGGTCTGAGCAGAAAAAGAAGAGGGGAGGCCTGGATCACATGAGTGAGAAACGGATGCAGAACAAGCAGTCCATTTATTGGGATCTAGGAAAAGCCATTAAGAAAATAAGCACTTAAATGATTTTCAATCTGCCCATGGAAGTCATCTGTCTTCATACTGGGGGGGAAAAGGCTCGTTCTCCCATCCTGGTTTTGATTGACTGATTTCCAATTCTCTGAGCATTTCCCATAGGAGCCTCTCACCTATCTCCCATAATGACAGGCCTTTGCATTTCCAGGCAGTGTTTTACATTTATTTCCGATTTGCTCATAATGGTCAAAAATCTCTCTCCAATCCAAGGCATTTCTCCAGCAGCGCACGGTTTCCCTCAGGCCAAATAGCTCAGCTGTGATCCACGGAAAATGAGAATTTCCCAAATGCGTCTTCTGACTAGGGGAGGGTCCGGCATCACAAATTCAGATGGAAAATTTCCCACTGTTAGATCAATATCTGGGCTAAGAAATAAATGCCACAGGGGCAGAGAGCTGGAGCAAAATGATTACAATCGGCACAATTACATTCACCGGCAGAATCAGCTTGCTGATTACTCCTAGGGATGGGGAGCTCCCCCCTTCGTCCACCGCAGGACAGCTTGGGAATTAGAACATCACTCAGCATTTCATAATTCGACAGATTTGCCCGTTGTCTTGGCATGAGTTCATTTTTCCTATAGAGTACGTCCCTGTAAGAGTTCTTATTTCAAAGAAAGAAAGAAGATGGAAAGAAGGAAGGCAGGAGGGAAAGAAGGGTGAAAAGAGGGAAAGTAAATTTCAGACTATACGAGAGATCAAGGCTGCTATGTGGCGGGAAGGAGTTGGAATATGCTGCTGTGGAGTTTCCAAGCCAGAGATCTGACGTTATATCTGCATAGGTGAGGTGTAAGCCAGGTCTTTCCCAGAATGCTACCCAGCCAAGACCTCATCAGGGAAACAGGGAACAAGTACATACACCAGGGGTTGGGAGGTATAGCTCAGTGGTAGAGCACGTGCTTAGCATGTGTAGAGACCTGGGTTCAATCCTAGCACTGCAAAAACAAAACAAAACAGAAAACCCACGTGGGTGACTTTTTTTTTTTTTCCTGCAGGGCTGTGGGTTGGATGCAGGGCCTCACACATGCTAGGCAAGTGCCACTGAGCTACACTCCCAACCTCCTGGGTGGCTTTCTAGTTATCTTGTTGACCAAAAAGTTTACTAGGCAACTTTCATTACCTGAAAACCAATCTGAAGTCCTTTGGGAACCACAGAACAGAGGCTGTCTCCCTGGCTGGTGGGGATTTCTACAGCGTCTTTCCTCTGCTGAGTTCTGAAGAGGCAGTAGCTGGCGTTGCTATCTCACCAGTGGTGAATGCCGGGTAGGCGGGGGCCATGGCAAATGGATTGGGCACGCTGCGCGGCTCTGTGTACTGACACCGGCCCCCGGGCCTGCTGTGTCCCTACCCCCTCCCAATCTTCTCTTTAATCCCCCCAACCAGATAATGTGGGATTTGGAAGCATGTAATATCCATGAGACTCCATTATAGGCTATTACGAGCTTTATACGCAGAACCTGGGGGATGTACCAGGATGCCGCTGGTCAGTGGGGCTGCCGAAATTGAGAGGGACCATTCCCGAGGGCCCAGGGGGACCATCCCATTGTTTAAACAGTACCCCCCACCCCTGCCACAGAGAGTTCTAGCTTCTTTTGATAGAGAAGCAGGACACATTTAAAGAGAAACATCTTTCAATCCCTTACAGAGTAAGAAGGACAGAAGGAGGTATAGGGGAAAACAAAATCAGAGAATCATTGAATTTATTGCTAGAGCCCAGAGAGACCATCCATGGGGGGTTTGTGCATGAAATCGCTGTTGGCATTTGGGGTGGGATCTTCTCAAGCATTGCAGATTTAGGGTCCTTGATGTCTGCCCACTAAATATGAATGGGAACTCCAGCTATGTGACAAATGTAAATATGGCCCATGCTATTTCCATTTGTCCCTGGGTAGAAGGGGGATATTATCCTGGTGTGGAACCACCAAAGGTCCAACAGGCATATTTCACAGAGGAAGAATCTGGGCCTGGATAGGTAAGTCTCCAGATCAAGGTCATATCAAGGTGACACCAGAGTTAGAAGCAGAGCCAGATCTCTTAATATAGGACCTTTTCCACAAAACAAGCAGCTTCTGAGAAGGAACTAAGAGACAAACAGGGGCTGGGGTTGTGGCTCAGCGGTAGAGCTCTCACCTAGCATTTGTGAGGCCCTGGGTTCGATCCTCAGCACCACATAAAAATAAATAAATAAAATAAAGGTATTGTGTCCAACTACAACTAAAAAATAAATATTAAAAAAACAAAAACAAAAGACAAACAGACACACAGGAAGAGACAAAAATATATGATGAGAAAAGGGAAGAGGAGAGGGAACATCAGGGTGGGAGAGAAACAGAAAAGAGAGATCAACATAGAGAGTAGTTTAGGGGATGGGAGGAAGGGGAAGAAATCTTATCAAACTGATTGCCCATCTACTATTTTCAAGGGATGGAAGATGAAAGAGAATTTAGGATCTCTGCTCTCAAGGGCAGGATGAAGGGACAAGCAAACAAATAGTGAATGCCAATGGCAAACTTGGGAATGGGCTGGAAGCCAGGACTCTGATGAGAGTCCTGCTCTTGAATGTGAGGCTGTGACTTTCTTTCACTTGAGAAACTTGTTGAAGAATGAACGCAAAGGTCTCTGACACCTACCTTCACCCAAATAGCCTTGTCTTTTCTCTAACAGGCAGACTCAACTACTGCTGCTGGCAATGAAAGAGAATCCAGAACTAAAGACAATGCAGTCTACTCTGTCAAGGCAGGGGATAGAACACCAGTATCTTTCATCTGGAGAACTAAAGCAACGTTTCCCAAATATTCAGTTCACCAGGGGAGAAGTAGGGCTCTTGGACAAGTCCGGAGGTGTCCTCTATGCCGACAAGGCCCTCAGGGTCCTCCAGGTGATAATGTGTAGCATTGGGACAATCCAACTTCCTGCTCTGGGTATCCTGGGTGTCAATCATCCAGCCTTCTGGGTGAGGGCCTTTGCCCTGCTGGCTTTGATCTTGACTTTTGGGACAGGGCATTTGTATATACCCTACTGGTGCTGTCAACCTGGGAGAGGAGGTTTAGATTCTGCCGCCTCGTGGCTGCCCTAACTGAAGGGCTCTTTGTTCACCAGGGTGAGCCACCTACACAACTAATTTACCTTTTCCTGCTCTGTCTTGTCAGGAAGCGATTCGCCAGCTAGGAGGCACAGTGCAGGATGGGGAGAAGGTGATGCAGATAAGACCCGGGCAACCAGTCATGGTGAAAACCACTTCTGGGAGCTACCAAGCCAAGAGCATGATCATTACTGCAGGTCCTTGGACCAACCAGCTCCTCCGTCCCCTGGGAATTGAGTTACCTCTCCAGGTAGGAGAAACCGGAAGACTGAGAGTCAGTGCTTAAGAGAAGAAGCCTTGGACTGGGCGTGTAGCTCAGTGGTAGAGTGTTTGCCTAGCACGTGCAAGGCCCCAGGTTTAGTTCCCCAGTACTGCAGACAAACAAAAAAATTGGATAAGACAAGGACAGATGTATGAAAGGATGCGGGACCCCAGAAGAGACTGCTCTCACTGACAACAGTGTTTCATAGTTTTCTTCTTTTCTCACACTCTTGCTCCCCTGCCTCAAGACACTGCTGATCAATGTGTGTTACTGGCGAGAGAAGGTTCCTGGGAGCTATAGCGTGTCCAAAGCCTTTCCATGCTTCCTGAGCCTCGACCTGGCTCCCCACCACATCTATGGGCTGCCTGCAGGAGAGTACCCAGGGCTGATGAAGGTGAGCAGAGAGGTCAGGAGAGGACAGCTCGGTACCCATATAGATCTGGGGCAGCTGCTCTAACTTGCCCCTTCACAGTCTCCCCCAGGTCCCAGTGGACAGCAGCAGGAATCTACTTCATTACTATTTGCTGTTTGCAGCATGAGATCCTCAGCTGCCTAGAGACCCAAGCCAAGGGAGCTTTTTCCTTGCAATCATAGGGTGGGTGCAGGGATGGACACCAGGCAACCTCATGTGGCCACATTGTATATGTCATGATGGATGGGGACATCCTGTGTCCACGCCTTCCCCTTGCTGGTTGGTGCACGTGGAAGGCCAGCATCACCGCCCACACTGCTCTGATGGGGGCCAGGTCTGCTATCACCATGGCAACAGTGTGGACCCTGAGGAGCGGGACTGCCCCACAGCCTTCTCAGACATCCAAGATGTCCAGATCCTGTGCCGCTTTGTCAGAGACCACTTACCTGACCTGAGGCCGGAGCCCGACATCATGGAGCGTTGCATGTACACGGTAAGGGGACTGGTGGTCTCGCCAGGCCTGTTCTGGCTCTGGAGAACAGAGGAAGGAGACCGACAGACCTTGTGCTGGCCAGGCCTGACTCCATTTGACACTTGACACAGTGCTTCAAACAAGCGAGCTAATTTCTGTGGGTTGGTTCACCTCCACGAGAAAGGTAGGGTTTATTTGTATTTTTTTTTTCATTAGGCAACTAGTTTATGCCTGGTAGTCCTTCATTATATTTCCCAGAAGAGTGCTAAAAGATTTTTGTGGCAAGATGCTTCAGTTGAGCAGGACTTTGGGGACAAAAAAAAAGAGACAGATGTCACCAGAGCCGGAGGCATCTTGACTAAAGTTAGTTTACAAAGATGATCTGAGCACCTACTGTGTTCATAGCTCAATAGGAGGAGAGAAACAGATGGATGAATGAGGAAGACTGGCACACCCAGAGTGGAGACGGGTCCCCAGGAAGCATGCATGTGCCCCAGCTCGTTCTTTCTGGAAAGAAATCCAGCCTAGTTCCTTCCCGTCAGAGCCTGTAGTTCCTCCTCCCCATCCTCAAAAGAGACAAGTGTGTTGTTTCTTTCTAGAACACCCCTGATAAGAATTTTATTCTCGATCGCCACCCGAAGTATGACAACATTGTCATTGGTGCTGGATTCTCTGGTGAGCATGAGGATCAGGGGAAGGGGTGCCCACAAGCTGACCTACCTCAGTGCCAGGAAAAATGGTATTTTCTACCCTCCTAGCTGCCCACACAGGGCTAAAATCCTGGACATTGAATGTATAAGGAGGCTGGGTAGGCAGAAAAGGGGTACCCAGGGCGGGAGGTGATTTCTAGCTTTGGGGTGAGACCAAGAGGAAAAATAGCCCTCTCTGGGTAAGTGGAGAACATCTCCAGAGCCCAAACTCTGGGTCCCTGAGGATGCTTGACAATCTGCTCTCCTCCTTCTAGGGCATGGATTCAAGCTGTCCCCTGTTGTGGGGAAGATTCTGTATGAATTAAGCATGAAATTAACACCATCCTATGATCTGACACCTTTTCGAATCAGCCGCTTCTCTGGCCTGGACAAAGCCCATCTTTGACCCTCGACCACCACCCCCTTCTGTGCTCAGGAGCCCTCTGCTGGGGAGGACTTCTCAGATGGAAGAAAGGCCCCGGGATATCATTTTAAACTCCTGCTTCTCTTGAAATCCCTGCAAACACCAAGTAATTGAGTCTGTCTCTTTCTCTAGACAGCTCCCCAATTTCAATGACCTTCTCTCTCCCTCCTGGAAAGCCAATTAGATGTTCCATCATCTCAGAGTAGCAAGGACCTTTGAGATGGATCTTTCAATAGGGAAGTGACATAGGGACTGGCTCAGGAGACCAAAACGGTTGTTAAAAAAATTCTCTTTATTGGGGACATTCGATGAACATGGGGTGGATTTGGCTAAATTTGCCCAGGGGAGGGTAAACAAAAGACCTAGATCACTAATGCCCTTGGGGTTCCTTTTCCTAAAACTAGAGTCATCCTCCATCAAAAATTTCCCATACTATCTCACCCTAGCTGCACAATAAATGCTTCCTGAAAAAGATTTGTTGAACAAACAAATAATTGCATTGCGTAAAAGTCTGCGGTGGGCTTTCTTTTCCGTATGACCTTATTTCCCACAGGCTCTAATTGTCTAAATTAGCACCATAGAATCCATTACCCTAGGCATCCACAGAATCTCTATCCCTCTCCACGCTCTCTCAGCACCCCCTTTCTTTGAATTCTTTGTCTCGTCCTCATCCCCTCTCTAGATCTGTAAAGATGTTCAGTTCCCCAGTCTCTCATTAAGGTGTATTGTCAGGTCCTTATGAAGATGGAACTGTTATACCAGAAAGAAGGAGCGAGACACACTCGCTTAGAAACCCTGTTCAATGTTTGAATGTTAAATGTGCCATTTTATTATCATTAGCATTGCTCCCACTTAATGAAACAGCATCAGCACTGAGGCGGCTGGCCTCCTTGCACTAATTGCTTCGGAAGGGAACGGGCTCATAATGACCCCAGGGTGGCTGGAGGGTTAAAGGGTATAAACAGGGACTCAGGCAAGGCTTGGATGCACTCAGGTGAAACCCAAGCAAGGGGACTCCACCCCCCCACCCCGATGGGTCCAGTTTCATCCTGGAGAACAGGATTTTAAATGCTTTGGAGAGAGGAAAGCTGGAGCTGGGTGGGGTAGATATGTTAGGAGGAGTCACTGTGTGTGAAAGAATGGGCAATAGGAACAGGAGGCAAAATATTCCCAAGGAAAATACAACGCAGGCAATTGCTCTTAACTGCCTCAGTCCTTAAAGGTCTAGGCACATGTACTAGAATTTCTCCAGTGAGATATAAAAGCCAGTGACCCTGTCACCTCCATGCCAAATCTGCTTTTTGGGTGATCTCAAGTGGTTCTCTGAACCTCAGCCTCTGTCAAGTGGGTATAATAATACTGACATTACTATAGGGGTGTGTGAGTGTCAAATAAGATCATTCATTCATTCAGTTACACAGATAGTTATTTATCTTCTGCTGTGTAACAGGCAGTGTATTAGGCAATGTGGATGTATCACTAAACGAAACAGAGACAAATTGCTGTTCTGAAACAATATGTTTGTTCCTCAAAAAATAGAACTACCATATGATCCAGTAATTCTACTTCTGGGAGTATACTCAAAAGAATCGAAAACAAGGTCTCCAAAAATTATTATTATTATTATTTTTTTAGGTACTAAGGATTGAACTCAGGGGCACTCTACCACTGAGCTACATCCCCACCACTTTTTTTTTTCTTTCTTTTTTAAGTGTAGATGGACACAATACCTTTACTTTTGTTTATTTATTTTTATGTGGTGCTGAGGATTGAACCCAATGCCAGGCAAGCGCTCTACCACTGAGCCACAAACCCAGCCCCCCAGCTCTTTTTCATTTTGAGACAGGGCCTCACTAAGTTGCCCAGGCTGGCCTCTAACTTGCAATTCTCCTGCCTCAGCTTCCAAAGTAGCTGGGATTTCAGGCACGCGCCATGATTTCCTGCTCAAAAGATTATTTTATACACCCATGTGTAGAACAGTATTATTCACAATGGCCAAGAGGTGGAAACAACCTAGATGTCCATTGATAGATGAATGAAAAACATGTAGTATGTACATACAACAGGATACTATTCAGCATCAAAAAGGAAGACAATTGTGATAGATGCTACAATATGAATGAAACTCAAAGACATTGTGCTAAGTGAAATAAGCCAGACACCAAAGGACAGTCAGGGCTGGGGTTGTGGCTCAGTAGAAGAGCACTTCCTTGCATGTGTGAGGCACTGGTTTCTATTCTCAGCACCGCATATAAATAAATGATTAAAATAAAGGTCCATCAACAACTAAAAAAATATTGGGGCTGGGGATGTGGCTCAAGTGGTAGCGTGCTCACCTGGTACGCGTGCGGCCCGGGTTCGATCCTCAGCACCACATACAAACAAAGATGTTGTGTCTGCCAAAAACTACAAAATAAATATTTTTAAAAAATCTCTCTCTCTCTTTAAAAAAAAAAAAACTAAAAAATATTAAAAAAAGAAAAGGATGGACACTGTACTATTCTACTTTATACCAGTACAGTGGTCACATTCATAGAGACAGAGGGTATCATGGTGGTTGCAGGGGCTGAGAGGAGGAGGAAACGGGGTTTTGTTTATGGGTGCAAAGTTTCAGTTTTGCAAGGTGGAAAGCATTCTGGAGAGCAGTTGCACAATAATGTGAATAGACTTAATGCCACTGAACTATAGATACCTAAAAATGGCCAAGATGGTACATTTTATGTTATGTGTATTTGACCATAATTGTAAAAATTCCTATTTTAATAGAGCTTGCAGTTCAGTAAGAAGACATGGAAGCAATACATATTATAAATTATGTCATATATTAAAAAGTGATCATTGCTTTGGGGTAAAACAGAGCAGAGTGAGGACAGGGAGTGATAGGGGGATTCTGACCTTTTCAGTGGGTGGTTAGGGTGAGTCCCACTGGTGTGGCGTAGGGGTTTGCAGTGCTGGGGCTGGAACCCATTGCCTTGGGTGTGATAGGCAAGTTCTTTAACACTGAGCTACACCCAGAGCCTAAGGGAGGGCTCTGAGGAGATTTGGAAGAGGAGAAGGTGTGAGCCTGGAGGCAGGTAAAAGAATGTCAAGAGTTGTATTGAGGGGAAGAGAGAAAGGAGATATGGAGAGAGACCCAGATGTGCTCCTAGCAGCTGTCAAGCTGACCAAGCCAGAGAGAAGGTGTTAGGATTGTCCCCTCTTGCTCCTGCTGCCTGTGGCTCTCTCTGCCTCTTCTGTTGGTGCCATCCTCCTCCCCCAGCCAGCTGCAGCTCCCCTTCCAAAATATCCAGCCTTATTCAGCTTGTCGGTGACAGCTAAAGGAGGGGACCAATGTCTTGTGGAGGCTGAGAAAGGACAAATGGGGGAGGCTACCAAGCCCTGTCGGAGCTGGTGAAATCTTCTGCTAGAGAGTCCTGTGTGTGTATTGGAGACAGCAGAGAGAGGGTGGGCGAGTGGGGTAGGTTGGGGTCAGCAAAGAACGGAGTAAGGCAAGGACCTGGAGAAGAGGAGACTGGAAACGTGCAGATCTTCAGGGGTGCTGCGCAGCCCCCAAGTCAAAGGCAAGGGGCAGGAAGGCCCAAGTGGGAGGAAGTGGGAATTTCTTAGTGGGGGTAGGATGGGATGGCAAAGGGGAGAGGCACTGTAGGGAATGGTTGATGGGCATAGAGGAAGGCCAAGGGCAATTCGAAAGGGGTCGGAGGACGACTTGCTGAAGGATTGGCCCAAACAGGCCACTCAGTATAGGCTCGCTGCTTTCCTTCTGCCGCCGGAGGGTGGCCAGGCATTTCCTTTCAGACAGGCCCTGCATATCTTCAAGATGGAAGGAAATCAGAATCAATCAGGCAGACAAGAAGAGACCTCTGGAAGGGCAACTGGGGTCCGCACAAGGCTGCAGGGGAGAGATAAGGGCAATGAAGAGAAAGAGGCTGGTGTGGTTGCCAACCAGACCAGGGAAAACAGAGGCAGCCTAAAAATAGACTGGGGTGGGGAGGGAGGAGAGCCAGTCCCCAAAAGGAGGGAGAGCCGAGGCAATCGATGCCATCGCTACTCTGACCCAATTCTTCATCTCTCAGCCTCACCAAACTGACAAATGAGGGCTTGATGGGGAACTAGGGAAAGATTGGCAGAGAGGGAGGAGAGTCGGGGGGCGGTGGGGGAAGTAATCTGGGTCCCGAAGCTAGGCGATTGTGGGATACAAATCAGTAGCCATGGTGTGGAAGAGAGGAGATACTTGGTGTGGTTAATAGTAGCTCAACCCTCCCCGGAGGGTGGTATCCTGGAACAGGTTTCAGAGCTTAAAGGATGTGAGTCTTACTTGGAAGAAGTTCAATGATCTAGAAAGGTTTAAGGAGGCAAACCAGGAAGTGTCAGCCTGGACCCAGTAGGCTGGAAAGAAACTGGAGGCCTGCTTTTCACTTCTCAGGGAGAAGTGAATTTAAAGGGAATTTGGTTATTTCAGTGCAGTAAGAGGGATTTAGGTTAGACTTCAGGAAATCCATCCCATTGGGCAGATATGTGAGATATTAAAACAGGTCCGCAAGTGCTCGTAGGGTATTCTTTCCTTCTAAACAATAAGAAGCCCATCTGCTTGAGTATACAGAGGTTCATCCGAAGGCCAGGGCTCCCCACAAAACCTTTGGAAGACTGTGGACTACAGGGGGGGGCGGTGTCTAGGAATCTTATTACCCTGGTGGTAGGGTAAGAAATGGGTATTTGGGCTCAGGTTGTGGGGAGAGGGAAGCACAAAGTGGCCCAGATCTGTCTGTCCTGGAGGCAGCAGGGACAGGGGGCAGGATTCTAACATGCAGGACCCAATGGCATTTACATAACTTTGAATAATGAATAAGCCCAGCTCTGGGGTTCCTGGTCCGCACTGCTCATCTGCATCTTTATTAAGCTTTATAAATGATTCAGCTCCCTGCACCGCCCCGCCCCCCAGCCCTGCCCAGCCTGCCCCAAGCATCAGGGTAGTTGATTGCTCATTATTTTAGACTAGATTTGTTTCACCAACATTCAGTGAGGCATGGAGTGGGGGACACAGGAGGGAGGAACATATCCAGAAGGCGAGTGGGGATGGGGGGTAGAAGAATGGAGGACAGGCATGGCTGCTGTGGGAAGTGGGCTCTCTGCTGGGAGCACTAAGGGTGCAGGCGTCATTCCCCAACATGTTCCTGGGGCCAACATTTTAAGGAGAGACCGGTTTCTTAGATTCCCCCAAATGTGCTGAATTCAAATCCCACACAAATCCCCGATTTCCCTTATATCTCCTGCCAAGTCCCCGGCAGGCCCCTCGCTCAGCTCCAGCTCCTCACACAGCCACTTGAGCAGCCATGGAGTAGAGCCCCCGGGGAAGTTCTCACTTTTTCCTGAGGCAGGAATTTTGCTATTTTCATGGAAAAAAAAA